ATACCAAATATTTATTTATTATTTTTTTAAAAAAAATTAGTCAAGTGCAACGCACGTTGTGCATTGCTAGTATTAACTACAAAATTATCAATCATATATTAATATTTTTATTTATCTATTGGGTAAAATAGGAAATTTATAATACAATATATTATTTAGATAAGCAATGTATTATTTGGATAAGAATTTGAAGTAAAACTATATATAATGCAAAGTGTTTTGTAAGTAAATATTGTATAAAGTTGAATTAGAGAGTTTTAATCTATTATGATTTTGTAATCTATCATTTAATACTGCAACCAAACAGTCCCCACAAGTTTTAAATCATTATTAATCTTGGTACACTAAATCAATGATTATATACTAATTATTTTTCCAAATTATCGTTGTTTTGATATAAAAATCAAATATTTAGGTTGCAGTTAGTTCCTTAATTTTTTATTTTTTTTGTTCAATTTTTGTTAAAATTAAAAACAATAATATGTTTGGTTCATTTTTTTTTTAGTCAAGTTGTTTTTAAACATGGGTGAATTTTGACAATAAGAAAAAAGATGTTTTTGAAAACATATAAAAATTAAAACACGCGGGACTGAAGGGGGACTTTTAATGAGATCCAGCCCTTGACTTTCGTTAGAAGCAAAACATAAAACATTTTTTTGATAGATATATATAAAAAAAAAACCTCCCTCCCTTTCTTTCTCTCTTTCTCTATAGTCTCTGATTTATTAGATTTGCAATTGTAGGCAAAATTCTCTCTGACAAAGCTCTTTCTGGCAAAGCTCTAGGGGGTTATGTTGGACTGGTGTTGGTGGTGGGTTTTCAAGGGTGGTGGTGGTGGTGGATTTTGGGGGCTTGTGGTGGGTTTTTAGGCGTGGGTATCAGTGGGGTTTGGGTAGTTGGTATTGGCGATTTTCGGTGATGTTGATTAATGCATCTTCAATCGTATTTGAAGAGTAAATTATTCAGCATTAAAAAATTAACTAAAATAGGCATAATATCAAACATGCTTTTTATTTTTTTTCATAAATTTTTAAATATAAATAACTACTAAACATATTTGATATTTTTAATTTTTATTGCAGAAAAAATAAAAATTTGTTACATTTAGAAAAAAATAATTTTTTTTTTTACCAAAACACCCTTACAAAACGCGTCTTCAAGATTTTGAAGATACCTCTTCACAAATTAAGAATGAACATAGATATTAATACAAACTCCAAACGACTATATTTTTTACTAGCTGATTGTTCAATTGAATACCCTACAAGATATAAGATAATTTTCAAGTAGGCCTGCGATGGATCAGATTTTGATCAAAGTATGATTCAAATAACTGGATATGGATTAATAATTTTTTTTTATAATCTGAATGCAAATTATTAAAATATTTTTATATAAATATTAAAAAAATTAAATAATTATTTAAAAAAAATTAGTTGATTAAGTTATTCACATTTGGCGGATTTTTAGATCGGATTCGAATATGACCCCCTACAAAAAAATTAATTCAATGGATTATCATATTAGGTTTTTTTTTTCAAATCAAATTCAGATTAGACAAAATTCGAACAAACCCGATCAACGCTAAGATTTAAGTATAAGATTCTATTATCACTTAATTGAATTCATGCTCAAACTCTTTCTATAAAGTAAATATTAACTTGATAAACATAACAATCAAAATGACTAAAAATAATTTTTTTTGTGCAATAATTATATCAATATTTAATAAACAAGAACAAATAATTGACACTAAATTCTTATAATACTAATTAAACGTGTTAATCGTGTCAATTTCATATTATTCCTGTTTGATACTAACTCATTTGTTGTTTGTGATCATTGGCCGAACCATTTACAAGTTCATGTTGAGAAATAGTTAATCCTAACATGCTAATTTTGTGTCGATTTCGATCCATGTTTTTATATTGTGTCAAAAATCATCATTTTTATCTCCAACACTCTAACCTTTACCATTTTTTAAACCAAAATAAAATTTAGGTAAAGAAATTCCTTAAGATCTTTTTTAATACTATTCCCAAACTCATACCAAATCATCAAATCCTTCATTTGGTTTAAAAACAAGTGGTAGGATAAAAGTTGGGTTTCAATTCATCACATTAAATTAGTACACCCGTTTATCCCTTCGAATGTGGATACCAATAACCAATAATGAGTGGCGTGGGATAAGGTTTCCTATTGATAGGATAGCAGTGGAATTTACCAAATTGCGCCCTTTTAAGTGGCCAAATTGTCCCCATTATGGGCAATATGGTAAATTAGTATAAAAAGTAAAGTTAATTCATCATGTATTTTAATTTGGTTGGTGCAGGAGACCCACACTTAACATTTTGTTTACCTAATTGAATGATTGGATAGGATAAGGAGATGTTTTCATCCATGCAATCAAACTTTATTGCATTTATTTGGATGGGATTTGCCTTTAAAATTCAATCCAGTCGAATCCCCATCATAGAAGTATTGAACACTTGGTACGACTCAAACAATCACATAAACAAAGGGTAATTAGCCATTGTCTAAATGAGCATTCACTAACATTCAATAGTTGGTTGAATATCCCAGAGTGAGATGGTTGATACTTCTCAGTTTGAAATTGGAAGTTCAAATTTTAGAGTTTATATTGAATTTCGGTGATTGATCACTATATTAGCCTAACCAAGTTTATTATCAGCATCATAATAATAATAATAATAATTGGTTGAATATTATGTTGACTTGTTCTCGAATCAATGTTGTAAATTTAATATCAAACTTGTCATTAGATAGTAGTGTTATTAGAACTGAATTGAACATCTTACCGACAAAGGGACTCGATAATGGTTTACTGATTTAATCGAAAAATCAATTGATTGGATCGATCGTAAAATAAAACAATTATAAAATATAATAATTTAACTAAAAAATATAAAACATAAGAGTCATCTTTTTAGAGCAGACAAATTAACAAAGCACAAAATTCACAATCACAATAAAATCTACAATCAAAATAAAGTCAAAATCATATTACAAATAAAATTCACAATTTCAAACAAAAGTCACATTGAGTGGCNATCATCAAATCCTTCATTTGGTTTAAAAACAAGTGGTAGGATAAAAGTTGGGTTTCAATTCATCACATTAAATTAGTACACCCGTTTATCCCTTCGAATGTGGATACCAATAACCAATAATGAGTGGCGTGGGATAAGGTTTCCTATTGATAGGATAGCAGTGGAATTTACCAAATTGCGCCCTTTTAAGTGGCCAAATTGTCCCCATTATGGGCAATATGGTAAATTAGTATAAAAAGTAAAGTTAATTCATCATGTATTTTAATTTGGTTGGTGCAGGAGACCCACACTTAACATTTTGTTTACCTAATTGAATGATTGGATAGGATAAGGAGATGTTTTCATCCATGCAATCAAACTTTATTGCATTTATTTGGATGGGATTTGCCTTTAAAATTCAATCCAGTCGAATCCCCATCATAGAAGTATTGAACACTTGGTACGACTCAAACAATCACATAAACAAAGGGTAATTAGCCATTGTCTAAATGAGCATTCACTAACATTCAATAGTTGGTTGAATATCCCAGAGTGAGATGGTTGATACTTCTCAGTTTGAAATTGGAAGTTCAAATTTTAGAGTTTATATTGAATTTCGGTGATTGATCACTATATTAGCCTAACCAAGTTTATTATCAGCATCATAATAATAATAATAATAATTGGTTGAATATTATGTTGACTTGTTCTCGAATCAATGTTGTAAATTTAATATCAAACTTGTCATTAGATAGTAGTGTTATTAGAACTGAATTGAACATCTTACCGACAAAGGGACTCGATAATGGTTTACTGATTTAATCGAAAAATCAATTGATTGGATCGATCGTAAAATAAAACAATTATAAAATATAATAATTTAACTAAAAAATATAAAACATAAGAGTCATCTTTTTAGAGCAGACAAATTAACAAAGCACAAAATTCACAATCACAATAAAATCTACAATCAAAATAAAGTCAAAATCATATTACAAATAAAATTCACAATTTCAAACAAAAGTCACATTGAGTGGCGTCTCAAGTCCGCTGGTCTGGAGAGAGAGAGAGAGAGAGAGAGAGAGAGAGAGAGAGAACAAACGCTTGTGTCGAAGGCCGTGCGTAGTTGGAGGGTTCGAGTTCGAGTTGAGCAAGGGAGTTGCTGGTCAATTCCTGTGCATCGTCTAGACTGGAGAAGGAGAGAAAATAGAAACCTGGTTTTCGTTGATTTAGAATTAAATTTGTTGTAATTTTTTTTAATATATATTTGAGGTATTTTTTCAATCGTTTGATTTGGATGAACCTCTCGTTTCATTGGTTTTGGCTACAAATGGTTCGATTTCTATGATTTATTAACAATTGAAGTGCCAAACAATTTGTTAAGGAAATTGGAGTGGCCTAAGGCCCAATTCACGATCAAACTAGTCTAATCAGTTGATTCGATCCAATTCTAATAATATTTCTTGATAAAACATAATATTTACATGTTCATGACCATCAAAATCGAGGAAAAAAAGTCTAATGTTTTCACTATTGTGAAGTCGGAAAAAAGGATTAGATACTTAAATTAGTATAAATCTGAAAGAAAATAATAATAGAATAAATAACGAGGACAATTCATACTTAATTAATTTTTCTTTATAAAAGAGTATTTATAATAACATTGCCAAAATGGTACACTAGGGTCAGATAGATTATGGAATCACAATAAAAAAAGAAGAAGATATATTAAACCGCTGGCTCAACTAACGTAAGCCGATTGGTGACACTTTCTTAAACTAAACCTTCTTTTTCTTCCATACACTTTTTTTTTGCGCCCTCTTTTCTGTACCTTCAAGCACTCGATCAAATCAGCAGCAAAAGAGTTCTTTCGGCGTCTTCGAGTTCTGAATCTCTCACTCTCACTCTCACTCTCACTCTCACTCTCTCCACCCTCTTGCCCAATCATCCATGGCTGACAAGACGGCGTTTGATTCTCGCCCAAACCAGATCTCCAACGGTATAAATTTCATTCCATTAAAGTTCGGAGACTATTGAAGCCTTAAGTGCTTTACCGATTCTTTCATTCATGCATTGGTACTTTGATTTGTGGGAAAAAGTGACTGTAGCTTTGTGTAAAACCCTTGTTTGTCGCAGGGTTTTGGAGCTATCTTTTTCTTTCATTTGTAAGAAAAGTACGCTAGGTTTAGGGTTTTCTTTCGCAGATTAAGCTCTGTTTGGCGTGTTGAAATACTGGAGAAAAAGAAAAATGCATGCTCTATGAGTGTTTGTTGCATTCCTGGTTTTGCTGCAATGTGAAATTTTTGTACTGGTGTTTTTATTTTTTTAGGATCGCGAGCTGCTGCAGTTTGTATAGTGAACTTAGGTAGAGTTTAAAGGAATGCTGGGTGCTGTGTAATTAAAAAATGGAGTTGCGATGTAGCCTCGATTGTGCATAAGGATTCACCTAGTTGACGGCAAGGACTTATGTTGTGGTGCTTGTTAGGTTCACAGACACAAAAAAATGTAGTTTACGCGAGCCAGTGCATTGTTGTGCCTCGCCTGAAGTTTAAAATTTTTGTTTTATTTTGACCTTACTTTGTTTCAATGTAAATATTATCGTCAGTATAGTATCAGTATTTGATTTTTGGATTCGATTGTCTGGAGTCTGATCCCTGATACAGCATGAATATTGTTTAATTTACTGATTTTGTCCTCATTATCATCATCTTTTGTCTTTTACGATGGCAAACTTCTAAATTTTGTTCCTTCATGTTTCTGCATTCTGTGGGCATATCTGTGTCAGGGAAATCAAATATGATATATTTCATTAAGTTCTTGATGTGTTGGAGGGAAATCTATAATATATGACAGGGTGGAGTATCATCTTTTCTTGGCTTATCACGGGTCTCTTTTCCTTTACCTACATATATACATGTTCATTTCAGGAAATTTTTGCTTGTTAATAAAAACCTGATAAAGGCCTAAAGCATAATCAACTGTGAGATTATGAATTCTATTCTCCTGTGGTTGGCACTTGCATAGAGTGCTTACTAATAATCCCCTCCCCCCTTTCACCTTCCTTGCAACTAGATTGTATTTTGAGACCTTCTATCGCATTTGCTTGTGATCAATGCAAGTTTTCTGGTGTTGCTTATCTTATCTACCTCCTTTGAGGCAATTCTGGGGATGAAAATAATACATCTGTGACTGTGATACCATTTGGTTTTGATTTAGGGTTTTGTTTCAGGAAGGCTGTTCCATTTAATTCGGAGCTTTGTGTTAGTCCATTAAGTTTAGTTACAATACAAATTTTGCTGCTTAATTACAATAATTTCTTCTGGAAACTGGTCATTGGTCTTGTTGCTGCTGTATATTTGATGCTATGCCATTTGTTCATGATATTATGTTTTAGTTTTTCCTAGATTATAATCTAGTTTTTTAGTTGAATTTTCTTGTGTTCCCCCATTTTTATAACTGACTGAATTGTCTTGTAATGGGTGTTTGCGACAACCAAATAGATGCTGTAATATATGCCTTTGAAGTTTAGCCTGAAGTTTGTAGGCTGTCACTCCTTGGACATTTTGACCACGGGAACTTGTTGAAATTTTTGGAATAAAGGGACAGCTTTCTTAGTTTGTCATGTGCTTTTGTGGATATGTCCGTATTTCAACATAAGTGTTATAAGTATAACTGCACACGTTGATGTTCTGAGGTCCATGGTTCCATATCCAGTAGGAGGAATGTTTGTGCTTTGTAACTCAAGGATTTTAGCAGTGCTCAACCAGGAATTACCTGGCTGTAGAAAATGGTTTCATTCATGGCAGAATTTCCACCTCATTTGAGGCGAAAACTTTTGGAAAATAGATAGTAACATTTCTGGAAGATTTGATCTTTATTCCCCTTTATGTATCTATTTTGAGTGAACCAAACAACAAAACTTCCTTTTAGAGTTGTTCCTTCTCTTGTCTACTATTTTCAAAACACTATGTGAGAGGTTTGAAGGGAATCCCATTAAGCACTAATAGGCTCACCTTCAAATGCTCTAAAACACCTGAGCCTACAAATGCTCTAGAACACCTTTTCATTGCTTTTCCTTCCTTTGATGAGCATATAAAAAATCATTATAAGATATGCAGACAAATGAAGCTTTGTCATGGAGGTTGGCGACATTAATGGGGACTGCATCATTGACCTTGTATTTCAAGTCCAAACATGACACCAGTGGGGACTGCTGAAATGTTTGTAGATTTACTTTGTTTAACCAGTTCAATTCAATTTAAGTAATCATTTCCTGTTATCTGTTTTTGACTTTTTGTGATGTAACATTTTCCAATGCAACATGAAAATCTGTTGTTGCCTAGCTCTTACACCTAAGATATTGCCACTGTATTCAATTGGTTCATCTCCTTTGATTTCTGTAGGTGTGCAAGGATCTGATAATTCTGTTCTACTTTCACCACAGTGGCTTCTGCCCAAGGCCGGGGAGAATAAGACTGGACTAGTGATGGGGGTGGGTTTTTATTTACCTTGCATTCTTCTTACTTATTTAACATTAATGTTGTGCTTTTTTTGTTCAGACAACAAAACATTTGGGAATCATTATTGGATTTTTTTTATATCTTTCCAGTGCCATGATCTTCCCTTCGTTTCCAATCGGTGGTTTCACATTCTAATTACATGTAAAATCAATATACTGAATCAGAGATTCTACTCCTGTCTATATGTCTTTGGTACAGGAGAACCATTTTAGTCTTTCTGCTGGTTATGCCAGTCGTTCAGATGTCATGAAATCACTAGGAACTGGTGAGGATATGCATGATACCCAGAAGAAAAAGGATGTCTTCAGGCCGTCCATGTTTGATATGGACTCTGGTCATGGTGACCGCTGGCGTGATGAAGAACGCAACACCAATTCCTCCATCCGCAAGGGCCGTTGGAGGGAGGGAGGAGGTAGAGAGCTTGGAGACAACCGCAAGATGGATCGATGGACAGACTCTTCCGAAAGACATTTTGGAGAAGCACGCCGTGCTCCATTGGAGCGGTGGACTGATTCAAGTAACCGAGAAAGCATTTTTGACCAGCGTCGGGAGAGCAAATGGAACACACGATGGGGACCTGATGATAAGGAGACAGAGAGTTTGCGTGAGACGTTGACAGACTCTAATAAAGATACTGACATGCCTCTTGGTAAAGAGTTGGTTCATCTCAGTCATCGTGGAAAGGATGGGAGGGAGGGTGACAATCATCGACCCTGGAGATCTAACACCACTTATAGCCGAGGAAAGGTTGAACCTCCTCATCACCAAACTTTTACGCCAAGCAAACAGATTCCTACATTTGTCCAAGGTTCGGGGCATGGGGAAAATGCTCTTCCAACCTTTTCTCTTAGTCAAGGTAGGGTTAGCTTTGGAGGAAGTTCTGTGAACAATACAGTTCACTCACAGTCGTTGGGATCTTTCTCAGAAGTTGGTGAAAATGGCCATGGAGAGCCTTCGCCTTTGAGATACAGCAGGACAAAATTGCTCGATGTATACAGGATGACTAACATGGAATCATGTGGAAAATTATTGGATGGGGTTGTAGAGGTCTCTTCCTTTACACAGGAAGAATCATTAGAACCTCTGGCGTTTTGTGCACCTACTTCTGAGGAATTGGTAATTTGCCATTTATAATTTTTTAGAGAACTTTCTTTGTGTTAGTTGTAGTCTGATTGATTAGTTATTTCTGGGTAGGTTATACTGAAAGGAATTGATAGCGGAGATATAGTGAGTAGTGGTGCACCGCAGGTCATTAAAGATGGATCTGTTGGACGCAACTCCACTGATTTCGTCCAGTTGAGACAAAACAAACTTGGTACTGTCTATACTTCATGTTAATTATATGTTTATGTAAATGTCATGCCTGATTTAATTTTAACTTTTATTTGATTTGACTTGCCTGATCAGGCAGTAGAGAAGATTTTCCGCTTGCTGTTAGCGATTGTAATGATGAAACTATGGAAGATTCAAAACATGGTTATTCAAATTATTCTGAAGGCTGGTCAAGTGAGAAGCAGCTTTATTCCAATGGCCGAAATGCTAAAATTGAAACTATGCAGGATCATCAGAAGTTTTCTGATTACAAACTAAATGCTGAAGGTATACTTGTGCAGTGATCAATTAGAAACTCAATTTTGTTACAGATCTTACTATTATATGCTGGATAATCATAGTGTTGTTTGATATAAATAAGTGACAGTTTGGTTAAAAGACTAGATTTGGATGTGTTCAGACCGTCAAACTACACTATATGTCCCAATCCCTATATGCATTTTGGAACATTTTATAAAGAAAAGACAGACCATCAGAATCAGATAGAAAAAGTTTGTAGTTGATGGAATTGCCTGAGGAAATCATTTCGTCCTGAGGTAGGGTATGCAGGTTTGATGGTTATGACTTATGATACTTTGGTTTCTTGATCCCTAACATGAATTGATCTAGGATGGTGCCATTAAGCTCCGGTTTTGAACAAGGTTTATTCTAAAAAGGAGGTGAAAAACATGGGCCCTGTTTGGTTTGCGTCTTGGTGTTTTTTATGTCGCCGAACTTGTTTGGTTATATGATTCTAAAAACAGTTATACGGAATAGAAAACGGTGAAACTTGTTTGTACAGTAACTTAGAAAACAATGAAAACAAAAATGTGGTGGTAGTGGCAATGTGGTGATGGTGGTGGACGTCGTGGTGGTGGGAGTGTGTTGTTGCTGGTGGTGGTCCAAAAACAAAACAAAAAAAGTTGGCCAAACAGCTTTTCTTCCGGAAACTATTTCCGAAAACAGAAAAACTGTTTATGAGATGCAAACCAAATAGGGCTGTGATTTCTCGTTTCTTGATTTAGATCATTCTAGCTGGGTTCCATTTGATGGTTTCACTTTGCGCCTATCTTTTTATCCGGAATATGGAATTATACTCCTAATTCATAAGTGTTAACATGACATTTTTATCTCATTATGCATTTGTTTATGGAATGTGTCTCATTAATCCATTATTTTTACTTTCAGCTCCGAGAGAAGAGGGTGCTTATAGGAGGAATGATGAGGTGCCCCTCAATAGGGAGTCAAGTATGCTGGGAAATTCCTCTCTCCATGCTGGTGCCACTAGGCGATCCACATCAATGGGAGAACATAACTCCTATGATTGGCGAGATATTCCTAATGATCTCAGGTCAAGAACCTCGGACATTGGTTGGTCACCGAGCAATGAATGGGAAGGTAGCTTGACTGATTTATCTTACAACAAAGATGGACCTAAGTGGCAAATCAGTGATGATCCAGTAATTAGAAGGCAATCATCGGCGGTCTTGGACAGGGAACCAGACAGCCGAAAACTTTTGCAGCCTTCTCCTGAAGAGCTACTTCTTTATTATAAAGATCCACATGGTGAAGTTCAAGGGCCTTTTGCTGGGATTGATATTATTGGGTGGTTTGAGGCTGGATACTTTGGCATAGACTTGCAAGTACGCCTAGCAAACACACCACATGACTCACCATTTTCATCGCTCGGTGATGTTATGCCCCACTTACGGGCAAAAGCTCGACCACCACCTGGTTTTGGTGCACCTAAACACAACGAAATTACAAATGCAACAAGTGGGTTGAACACCAGCATTGGTAAGCTTAATATTGGTTCAAGTGGGAGTGACGTGCTAAAGAATGAACCAAGGTATAGACAGAGTTCAACAAAGGAGGCTGAGAACAGGTTCCTGGAGTCTTTGATGTCTGCTAATCTGGGCAGCGAACCTTTTGGCAAGTTTGCTCTGTCTGAAGGTGTTTTTGTGTTAGGTTTTTCGTTAAAGTTTCTTGTTTTGGTTCCTAAAGTTGTGATTGCATTTTCTAGCCTAGCCATGTTGTCTTATCAAGTGGGTCCATGTAATTTTCCTGGTTTCAACTTGTTTGCCATTTTTTTTCGATCTGTTGCAGGTATGCAGGGATATTTGGGAAATAATGGTAGTATTATACCTCCTTTGGGAACCGAAAGTGGCGATAACCTATACCTTTTAGCCAATAGGATGACACTTGAGAGGCAGAGATCGCTGCCGAATCCCTATCCTTATTGGCCAGGAAAGGATGCAGCCTCTGTCCCAGAGTCAGAGATTATCCGTGACTCTTCAATGCCACATCCAAGACTTTCTTTGTCTATTGCTGAGCATCCTCTTTGTCAGAACACGGACTTGATGTCCATCATTCAAGGCTTCCCTGATAGGTCTACATCTGGTGGCAATAAAGAAGTTGATGGTTGGTCAAATTTCTCAGTCCAAGGTGGGCTGGAGCCGCTTAAGGAAAAGGTGGACATTCATCATGGGCAGCGTTTACCTCCGCAAACTGCATATGGGATCCAACAACAGAGGCTACAACCACAGAATCAGCCCTCTTTACCAAATTTACTAGCTCAAGCTATTGACAATTCTTCTGGCACATTAACCCTTGAAAAGCCACTTTCTTCTGGTCTTTTGCAAGATCCACAATTATTTAGTTTGCTGCAAAAACAATACTTGATGCAGTTACATTCCCAGGCCCCAGTTCCATCACAGCAGCTGTCACCACTGGACAAGCTCTTGTTGCTTAAGCAACAACAGAAGCAGGAGGAAGAGCAGCAGTTATTGCGGCAGCAGCAGCAATTACTTTCTCAGGTGCTTTCGGAGCATACTTCTCATCAACGTTTTGGTGATCCATCTTATGGAGAGTTACAGGCTGCTGGTTTGTCAAAAGAGAATGTATCTATTGACCATCCTAGGTTTCAGCAGTCCCATGAGTTGTTTCAGATTGGTTCAGAGACTCCAGGTCCAAATATGCAAGATGAACGTAGTACTGTTAAATTGTCGCCAAGTGTTCCCCAGTATGTCAGCCATAATGTTTCCGAAATCTCTTCCATTGATTTGCCTCCTCAAATGTTTGGTAATATTATCCATCAGAAAAGTTTGGGTGACGGTCTGTCTGCGCAAATCGATGAGACTCTGCAGAAGGGTTCACTATTGGCATCAGCTGAGATGGACGCCTTTCTCCAGTCACAGGTGGTGGACAAATTTCAACAGGCACAGGTATCACAGAACAATTTGAGGACTGTTGAGCCAGTGATGGCTACCACCTCCGAGGCTTCTGCAAATTTTTCATCTTTGGAGTACCTGGGAAAAACAGTTGCTGTGCCATCCATGGGAACTAGTGAGAATCAGGTTTTGATGCCTGAGCAGCAGGTAAATGATTTGAAGGTCCCACCAGCTAAAGTGGTTGTGGAACCACAAGTTGAACAAGACCATTGCGTCGATGAACCCTCTGTGGTGAAGGAAGTAAAAACTGTTGAAACACCTGAGGTAAGGAAAGCTTCTGAAAAGAAGTCCAAAAAGCAGAAGTCTTCTAAGGCACAAGACCAGGAGGCAAAAGGAGCATCTAAAATGAAGCAGTCAAATCAATCTGAAACTGAAGGCACACATCTTGCACAAACAAAATCAGAGGCAGACACTGCTCCAGGAGATATATTTTATGGAGCAGCTCAGCTAGAAACAAGAAAGACCAATGTGGATTCTGAAGGAGGGAAAGGCTCTTTGTCTGCACAAGTAGTCAGAGATGAAGTGGGGACTAAGAGTGACTCAGGACAGGCTGGATATGTCTCACAACGTGGTATGCAAGTGCAACGAGCTTGGAAGCCTGCTCCTGGTTTCAAGCCAATGTCACTGCTGGAAATTCAACAGGAAGAGCAGAGAATGTCACAAACACAAATGACAGTTTCTGAGTTCTCGACGTCTCTTGGCTCCATGGGTCTTTCTTCTCCATGGTCTGGGGTGGTTGCCGATTCTGATCAAGGTAAACCTGAGAGTCCTCTGAATCAAAAGAGCAAGAAGAGCCAATTACATGATCTATTGGCAGAAGAAACTTCGGTGAAGTCTAGCGAAAGAGAGAGAGAGGCTCTTGAGAGTTTTTCTAGTCTGCCTCCCCTACCAGTTACCAGCTTAGTATCTGATTCCATTGATGACAACTTTATTGAGGCCAAAGATACTAAAAGGAATCGTAAAAAGTCTGCAAAAGCTAAGGGTGTGGGATCCAAGGTCTCGATGCCCATTATTTCAGCTGTTGTGTCTCTTGGATCAAGTCCAAATGAGAAAGGCAAAACTTCTCGTCAGGTACAGCAGGAGCATGAAGAATTAGCTGCAGTCCCATCTTCCCCTTCTTTAGGAGATTTTGTTGTTTGGAAGGGGGAGTTGTCAAACCCTTCCCCTGCTCCAGCATGGTTGACCGACTCTGGGAAGCTTCCAAAACCCACATCATTGAGGGACATCTTAAAGGAACAGCAAAAAAAGATTTCTTCAAGCCAACATCAAATTCCGGTGCCAAGCCCTCAGAAGTCTCTGCCCACCCAGTCTTCCCGTGGAAGTGGTCCTTCATGGTCTGGATCGTCTCCAGCTACAGCTGCATCCTCTAACCAGTTTATTTCCCAAGTTGCATCTCAGTCAAAAAATAGAGTAGATGATGATTTATTCTGGGGCCCATTAGATCAACCAAAGCAACAAGCAAAGCAGTATGACACTTTCTCTTTCTTTAGGTTCAATCTTTCAGTGTATCTTGTTATGCCTATTGCTATCTTTTTATGCCTATTGCTTATTGCTATAAATTACTGCATTTTCTACAGCAGTTAAAGGGATAGTTGTGTCTGTAGTTTGGTATCTTTCTCTACCTTGGATGGACCTAGTATTGTTGGTGCTGTCTCTACTCTTAGTTCTGATGCACGAAAACATATTTGGTGGAACAAATGGATTACTAGATGTTAGAGGTTAATGATTTTAGCTGATAGTAGTTCTGTTTGGGTATTGAGAACTAAGTGGTAAATCTAAGACTTCAATCATCCTGAGTGCAGGTCAGATTTTCCCCAGCTTGTTAACCAGGGCAGTTGGGGAACCAAAAACAGTCCTGCAAAGGGGATTCCTGGACAGTCATTGAGCCGGCAGAAGTCTGTGGGTGGCAGACCAGTTGAGTGTTCCCTTTCCTCGTCACCTGCCTCTGTTCATTCGTCTCTAAAAGGGAAAAAGGATGCCCTGACTAAACATTCAGGTAAGACACTGTAAGTTTAGTAATTTTTTTATGGAGAGATAAAAATTGACCATTTTACCCTACTGTTGCAGAAGCTATGGACTTCAGAGATTGGTGTGAGAGTGAGTGCATCAGGCTTATTGGGACAAAAGGTATTCTATTTTACTATCAGCATTGTTGCGCGGTATCCCTTGCGTTGAAATATTTTAGTCAGAGATATAGATCCCATAGTCTTTAAATCAAATATACTAGTTATTGGTATTTACCCAACAAAGCATACCAGTTATTGCGAGTCATTTGGTGGCTTGTCTTTTGCTGAAGATGAGGGCATACCATATTTCTAACCCCATCTCTTCCCATGCACGTGAGATAAGGGTAATTAGTAAAAATAACACTCTTTGGTCATGGTTGAGGACGTGGTCTGGTCCCCTTTCTTGTTTCCTGTGATTGGAATATTAAGAAGTATGTTCAGAAAGGTTAAAAGTTTGCTAATATCCTTGTCTCGTCTGTGTATTCTGTTTTGTTACTAGATACAAGTTTCCTGGACTTTTGTTCAAAGCAATCCAGATCGGAGGCTGAGGTGCTTCTAACAGAGAACCTTGGCTTGTTCGATCCTGATCACGAGTTCATTGACAAGTTCCTAAGCTACAAAGACTTTCTACCTGATGATGTCCTTGAAATTGCCTTCCAGAGTCGGAATGATAGCAAAGTCAATGGATTGGGTTCCGGAGATGTGACGTATGACAATGTTGATGTTGGGGGATCTGACCAAGGCAATGCAACTGTTCCTGATGGGTCCACAAAAGGAGGTGGCAAGAAGAAGGGGAAGAAAGGAAAAAAGGTTAGTTCTTCGGTTTTGGGGTTTAATGTCGTCAGCAACCGGATCATGATGGGAGAGATTCAGGCTCTTGAAGATTAGGTAGGGTCTAATGTAGTTGTAAATATATTTTCTGAAGTAACTCTCTGTAAATGCCGTTTTACGTCTAGGATTTTTGTTCATTTACAGAGCCACAGCAGCAGTGCTTTTAATCTGCTCAAGCAATTTTGTGAAGTAATGCTTTTAAGTTTTAACATTGGTAGTCCTTGTTACTTTGATTGTGAAAAACCGGGAAGGGATTGATCCCAAATCGAACTTATTTGTCATGTGTTAACTAATTGTTTGATCTGCTCACTTTGATTGGAACGAGGTGTATCTCCTTGTATTCTTTAATTAACGGTTGATGAAAGAGCTTCTTGCTTGCAAAGCTTTTGGCCATTTTTTTAGGATTGATCAATGCCCACCACAGTATTTATTATCCTCTAGTGTTCTGTTCTGTTTGATAGGAGGGATGAAAAATTAGAAGGATAGAAAAATATAAGGAGTAGATTTTTTATCTTTAGAAGAAAGAAAAATATTTTTCCTCCTTTGTGTTTGGTACGATGGATGAAAAGATAAAAAAATTAATTTTTTATTATATGGTATGAGAGGAAAAGCGAAAACAAAGAAAAGATACACATATTTAATTTATCGTTATACTCTATATATATAAATAAATTTTTTTATAACAAATAATTTTTTAGACAAATAAATATAGATATTTATACAAAAAACATATATAAAAAATAAATGTAATAGGATATTTAAAAAGTCAATTTTTTATTGCTCAATTTGGTCAAATTTTTATTATTTTATATGGTATGAAAAAATAAATAAATAAATAAATTACCATAATTATTCATGTAAGAAACAAATGACTTTGATGTGGGACCCACTAATTTGGTCACCTTGTACATAAAAGATGAAAAAATAGGTGAACCACACACTTACTCTATCACTTTTAAAGCTAAAATGATAATTTTAAATAACTTTTCAACCAGCTATCTCCCTTTCGTCCACTTTCCTCTCATTTTGAAGAGATTAAAAATGGTGGACGCAGAGAATACGTTTGCCACCCAATTTTTCTTTCCTCTCAATTTTTCTTCATACCAAACAAAGAAAAATATAATTTTTTATTCCATTTTCCATATATCCACTTTTCCACCAAACCAAACAAACCAAACAGGCCATAGGTCCCGTGGCCAATTGCTGAACTATTAGTCTGACAGCCATCGGGCTATGGGTAGCCCCGATAACATAAGGGGGCAGGATGATGGGTTATGATTTTCAGTCTGTTTGATCCAACTACTTGTCCCAATTAAAGCTTGTGCAGACGGCCGCATATACGATTTAAACAAATGATAGAAAATTTTGAGAAATGAGAGCGGATAAAATAGGATTTATTAGTATTTAGGATTCTCCGAAGGGTGCATTAAAGATCCATGACCCTATGGGTGGGATATGGGACTTTTTGGTTGAAGCTAGTGCGACCTGAGCCATTGACCATAGAGAACAAACAGGCCCGGGTCCATTGATACCGTCCACATCTATTTGTTACTCCCTAGCTCAATCCTAGTTACAAACTTACAATAAACTTCAGTTGATAGAACCTTTGGATGGGTCGTTGTAAAAAAATCACCCACGAATGTGGGTTAATTGAGTTACGCTCAAGTATCCAATAAATAAGCATTCATATTGAGTAAGAATAAGTGCACAAAACCAAAGTTTCTTTACATTTTGCTTTTATTTGAGAGGAAAAAAAATGAGAGGAACAACAAAAATACGTATCGTCATTAATAAAAAAGACACTGCTCCAGCCCTTTGCCATCTATCTTCTGATTAGGGCAGCATACAGAAAATATTCATTAGCAATACAGGTACGAATAAATATAGGACAGCATTTCGTAGACTGGACTCCTGTAACCACAGACCTGGACTGCTGTTAGGCCTCAGCTCTCCCGGCCTGCATGTCCACAAGGGGAAAAATAGCATAAAAGGAAGTTGAAAGTCAGGAACAAAGAATCAGATGCAAATGAATATCAACCAACAACAGAAGACATGATAACAGACATGTTTTTGGCCATCACAGTATAGCCAAAAACAAAAACCCATTCCTTGTATGCAACAAATGATGCATTCCTGTTCCTGGAAGCAGAATTGACTACTTAGACCTGCACAAGTGATGGTATAGACAAGAATACAAATAGAAACCAAAGTTGCTGCAAGTGGTTCAGTGAATCTTCATCCCCATTCTATCTTCTTTGATTAACAGTGTTAGTTATTCTGTGGTCAGCAATTTTGTGTTAGTTATTCTGTGGTCAGCAATTTATTTCCTTACAAATTTAAGAGCAATCAAAAGTCCAAATAATCATTTCCAATGACCTCTTGGTAACTACAGAGTGCTAAAAAAATGTTTTATTTCCCTCCGATTCTGAAATTGTGGAAGAGTGAGACCCAACAAAAAGGTCAAAGATAGCGCATAAAACTCAAGAAGCCAAAACATTTGAAGTGATTTGAAATGAGATTCTGCTAGATAAAACCAGCTTGTACAATTACTTCTGCTCAGGACATGCAAATCTAATCACAGACAAATTTCATAAGTCCAGACATAATTTTGCAAGGTCATCACAGCAGACAGATTACAAAAAATGAAACTGTGAAATGAAAAATAACATATAACAGCAAAAGGAAAACAGTAACACTATAGCATTACAAATTCACTTGGTCAAACATAGCCACAAAAAAATAAAAAGAAAAAGAAAATATAGCAGTGTGCCTCTCAGAGACATTCCAAAAAATGGAACATTTGCAGACACTCAACACGGCATCAGGTTCTGACCGCCCGTCTGCTTTTTCTCATCATTGAGTAAAAGTGAGACAGCTGAACAAACTTTAGAACTATATTATCACCAAAGCAACTTCCCCATCAACCTTAACACAATGCACATCAAGTAATCCTACTCCTACCTACTGCAGCTACTCAGTTCTAAAGTATCTCCAATCACAGCAAGTATGACAGTAATGGACTGATGATCATTACAGACTCGAGAAATAAGTTTTTTTCCAAGCAAAAAAATGTTGCATACGTAATTAAAGAAGAAAGTTGGGAAGGCATCAGATAATAAGCGGAGTAGTAAGTCTACATCAAGCTTCAGTGTGTAGGATAAGATAATTTACATCATTTGCCTACCCATCTTACAACATAATACATAAACTTATAAAATGCAAAATCCTACAAACACATACATATGAACACCCACCCACCCACACACACACACAACTAATTCTATAAAGAGGAAGACCACCTTCCCAATATATATGCATTCGATATTTTTGCTTGCAGTTAGTAAATTTTGGAGAAACATTGATTGAAAAAGAGTAATTATGACAAAAGCAATGTGACTAACATAAACATCCATAAGAATACAGCTATATTTAACATCAACAGAAAATACAAACAAAAGAACATCCAGTGTGCAACAAAAAACACTACAAGGGTGAAGAAAATTAATTAGAAAACAATGGCATCAGATAATAAGCGGAGTTCGTAGTCATCACAGTTAATCAGTGTGTAGGATAAGACTAACATTCATCATTTGCCATTCTTGTAAACCTGCGATGCTAATGAAATAAAAGATAAGATGAGATGAATTTCGGAAGGTCCATTTGACCCCAATGCAATATATATTTGTGCAATGGGCTGGTAAGCCAACCTTTTCACTTTCTGCATCAGTTATATCTCCTTGAACACATTCAAAATTTCAAAACAAGAAGAGGGTAAACCAGATGCAATCGGTGATAAACGAATTCTAACAACACAAAAAGACAGATTTGTACGATCAAATCGTGATATTCAACAGAATAAAGCTAATCTTATCAAACAATTGGCCCCAAATTAGTCGAAGTAACATAGAAACCAATCAGATCTAGAAAAGAACTAATTTTTTTCGATACTATTGTCATATAATCAAGCAATTTGGAGAAGAAAATCGAAAAAGTTACGAATTGAAATCGCAGAAAGCTCACTCGTATCGTCCGGAGGCGGCTACTAAGAGGGGTATAAATAGGGTTTTTCTCAGCTAGGGTTTCACTCTGACCACCAAAGTTAATTGTATAGGTCAGCTGTAAGTAGCCACAGAAGACCACTACGGCGCGGAAGACCTAATCAAACTACAATAAGGACTAATCAAATTACAATAACGACCTCAACAAGATAGAAAAACATTTTCCTTTTTCCTTTTACGGTCACTCTTAATCTCATCCTAACTTTATTAAAAAGAATATTTATATGTATTGAATTAATTTTTCTGACCCAAAAAAAAATATTAATTTTAGAAATTTAAATGTTAAGTTGATTAAAAAATAATGAAAAATTTAAATATGAGGCAATGACCAAAGAAGGTGGAAATAGTTAATATTTTATTTTTGTGCTGACTATTCTCTCGAGTTCTCAATAAATTATCGTAATTTCAGCTAGTTTAAAGACATATTCCATGAAAAATAAAGGTGATTGACCTTTATAAGATCGAGCTTAAAACCTCTCAATTGCCTCTATAGTAATGATGTGTATATCAAAATCTTTCCCAAGAGTGACGCACAAGAGTGGATGGGCATTGGGCAGGGATATTCAAACTTCTTTATTGTTGATGATGAGTTTTGAATCACTAAAATATCTTTTCAAATTGATCTAATTTTTATTTATAATAATCTAATCGTACAAAATTTATCTCAATTTTTTTTTCACTCAAAAATATTATTTTTTCTGCACGATTTAATGTCTAACAACCCCACTAATCCACACCAACGTGCCTCTATGCTCTCTCTCCTAACTCTCTTAATGTAAAGAAAAGAAAAGAAAAGAAAAGAAAAATAAATTATTATTAAAAATATTAATATTGTACTATCAATTCTCAATCTTTTATATTATAAAATATCTTCATGTACGGGTTATTGTTAGTCATATATATGCCACATACCATTTCCTATCTCTGTTCTTCTTGGTTAAAAATTCAAAATATACACTTAAACGAAATTTCTCAAACTAAAAGGTTAAAAAAATTAATATCAATTCATCTCTATATACAAGCAATTTCCATTTAAATATTTTTTGTATGCAAAAAAAGAAAAAGAAAAAGAAAAATTATATATACTAGCATCCCATTCCATGCTCTTCATTTTCTTGTTCCTTCTTAACATCAGAAGGAGGCAAAAAACAATCCAATGACAACCCACATATATTGAAATCAACCTCTTCAATCCTCCATGTCTCCTCAATCTTTGCCCTGTGATTAATAGCCTGCCCATATCTATAAATAGTTGCAATAGTCTTTCCACTATGAGCTATATTGATACCTTCAATGTATCTATAGTCTTCAATAACTGACTCCATGCTTGTCTCCCAATACACATGGTCATCTCCTCTGGCTGCTTTCATTCTCACTAGTTTTGTGTCCTCGAATTGAACCAGCAATCCGGTTCGTTGGCTGAAGTATCCCCATATATTGTGGTGGACTATTTCTGTGTTTGGTGTGCTTTGTGCTTTGAGGATGTCTGTGCTTGTGTCGAGCTTGAGTATGAAACAGTCTTCGTCGTTAATCGTCTTCTCTCCGATGCAAAAGGCGTTTAGGAATAAGTTCGCGGTTGATCTTGGGTCCAAACCCTGTTGAAAGTCCATATATATTGCTAGTTACGAACAAAAAAAAAAAAACTGTATAAAGACTAGATCCTGATTGTGATATTAGGCAGTAGAAAATTAGGTTTCTATGTGAGAATGTGATCATACTTAGACATAAAAGACAGTTATTTTCCCATGTACGAGGAGAGACAGAAAGAAGGGTGATTTAAATTTGAACCAACTTAACTGTTGAATGGTTGTGATGGTTAATAGACATAATCAGTACCAATGGGTGTCATTTATTCTTTGTTTTGCATACTGCTCTTGTGCCTTTCTCTCTAGTTTTATCGGCTACTACTAAGTCTACTATCACTTTCTAAACTGAGCCGGGAGAATGAAACCTTAATGTGTCACGGTAGTACATCTTGAACAAGTCGTACAATTTTGGCAATTACAAAAATAAAATAGTATATCCCTCTCCCTTAGAGCCGTCTAAGAGTTACATTCCAAAGGGTTTGGACTTTGGACATGTAATTCAATACTTTATGAATCCATTGTAAAAACTTTTTTTACGAGGAGGATCCACAAAATGTGGACAAAAGGCCCTGTGTATCCAATAATGTACGTCAATACCCAAAAAAATCACCTTCTTTGGTTCATTTGGAGCTTACCCTCAATGCTAAAATCATAATGGATGGTGCTATAAGATGCACCTAAATTACACTAACCGAAAAATCTCATTTTTTCAGCATACAAGGGCTACGTTTTGTTTAGCCAACTTGAAGTCATTAAACATTATTAGACAATTACATATGTTACGTCTTTTTCTATCAATTTAAACTTTAAAATGAGATTGTAGTTTATTGTGGCATCAATTAAAATATATAGAACCGTCGAAAGATTACCTGAAAAAACCGACGATGGGGTCTCGGAGGCCCTCTCGAGGCATTTGAATTGGAGGAGGACTGACTCCAAGCAACCTTGCCGTCGCTACCGGCACTGACCTTGATGCTGGAAACCACTAGTTCTAAGTACCACAGATCAGGGTTCATTTGCCACAACACAAAGCCACCTAACTCACAACTACGTTTAGCATTCACACTGTCTCCACTTTGGTGGATGTTGGAGGATACCATCTTCACTTGTCCCACTGTGTGCATACTGTTTATTGAATTTAAGGCAGCTTGTCCTCCACTTGCTGCTATATATTGTTGTACAATGTATTTAGCTGTAGAAGCTTCCTGTTCATATAGTCAAAGCTTTTAATCATATTGTCAATCACTATAAAAATAAATGGTAATGCATCAGTTCAATTGCATATATGGTATGATCTCTTTCTTTTCGTATTAAGGGTGAAGGAAAATTCGAGTATTTTCCACTTCCTTTGGTTGTATGACTAAAAATTGATAAAAAAATTCATCTTCTAGAGATTTAGAATCATTAACTATGGATTGGAGATTCGGAATTATCGACCGTGTGTTGATGGGGATTCCTTTGAATACATTGGGTTTCGATTGTATTCCCGACAGGTTCTTCTTTCTTTAGAGAAGTTTCGAGTTGATGTAGTTAAATTAATGCATTACTTGATAATTTTAACATAATTTTTATCAATTTGGTCCCTAAAATATTTAATTCGTTTTTCTTTGGTCCTTACACATACGGACTGTTAAGTTTTTGACAGAATGATCACGCGTTGAGCACGTGATACCGTTTAAAAAAATGATACGTGGTTACTACCGTCTAAACTGCGTAATCATTAAAAAAAAATTTTTACTTGTATACAACAAAATGATAATAATATTGACAAGGTAGGATGAAGTTAAAGAAACAATGCTTACAATGGAGCCATCTTTGATAGGCAAAGTGACAGAATGGTCCAATTGAACCTGAAAGGGAATAAGAGAAGAGGCAATAATTTTCAGCAGTAACATAAACTGATCATTGCTTGCAGAATGTGCCGACGACGACCTGACGGAACGTCGAGCCCGCATCCAATTGCGCATATTCTGCCACCGGAGGGCTCCATTGCTGCCCATGTTGACGAACATTTCTTCGGGTATCGGCACCTCCAGCACTGTCTCCAGCCCATCTTCCTTGTCGAAATTGGGACACAATGTCCTCATGGAATTAATCAACAGGCTTGAACAAAGATTGTGTAGATAGATAGATAGATAGAGAGATAGAGAGGGAGAGAGAGAGAGAGGAAGAAGAAGGACCCTTTAGGGAAAAAAACAGAAGGGACACCTTCCTCTTTCCTCCTAAAACAAACTGGCCTTAGGCTCTTTGAATGGAGCAGGTGTTCTTGGGAGTTAATTAGGCAACTAAGGGAATTTGAAATGGGAGGAGAGTAGTTTTGTTGCCTAAGGTGCTCCTTGGTCGTAGCTATCGAATGGGTGCTATTTAAGGGGTACATAGTCCAGTTAATTTTAGGACACAGTACCTAGGAATGAATTAGGCTCCGATGGTGGAAAATGTTTGAGTAAATTATACATATAATTCTCATACTATGATTGTCAATTAAGTTCTTAAACTTTTTTTTTTTTTATCAATTGAGTCTTTGAACCCTCTAATTGAATCAATTGAGCTCTTCTGTCTTCTCTAATTGTGTCAATCTCGCCAAATTCAATAATAAAGGGAGTCTCGTACATTAAGTACAATTTTTATTTTAATATCCTAAAGGCAGGGGCAGAGCTAGATTTTTTTGGTTTTGGGGACAACTAAAATTATTCACTAATTTTATGTCATGTTTATGAATGGTATTTAGAGTTGAAATTCAACTTTGATATCAAAGGGGCTACAATGGTTATAATACAATTTTTTGGGGTTTTATACAAAAAAATAAAAAATTAAAAAAATCAATTCTTAAAAAATTACAACTTTTATGAGTCATGTTACAGATGAAGTTATAATTTTTTGGGAACTCAAGCTATATGTACAAAATTAGGTAATTTTAAGGCGAGAGATCCACCGTAGATACTTTTAAGGTAAAAGGTTCATAAATACACAATTGACATAATAGCTAAATTTTTTAGTTAGTTCACGATTAGTTAATGATATAATTAGTAACTCGACCATAAATCATGTCTGAAGAAGGAAGGAGACCATTAGAATCTGAGGAAGCAGACGAAAAATAGAAATTCAGGGTCTGTTTGGTTTGTGTCTCTAAAAACAGTATTCGAAAATAGTCTTTTAAAAGAGTTTTAAAAAAGTGTTTTTGAAATGAAAATTTTGTTTGGTTAGATAATTTTAAAAATAATTTTACAAAATAAAAAACACTAAAACCTGTTTAGATAAACGGTTTCATATAAAATTATTTTAATATATTAAACTTGATAAAATAAAATTTAAAAAAAGAAGACAAATTAACCATTGATTTAACTACATTGGAGCTTCGTCGGAGTAATAAAATTAAAAAAAAAAGATGAAAAATTAGTCAGGGCTTTGCTGAAGTAATCCCAGAATCTGAAAGTTTAACTGAAACGGAGTTTCGCTAGAGTAATAAAATTAAAAAAAAAAAAAATTACTCTGAGCTTTGCTGGAGTAATCCCAAATTCTAAAGGTTGAACCTAGATCTGAAAACTCATTGTGGGAGAAGACAAACCAATATTTAAAACTCAAATTTGAAACCCAGATCTAAAAATCAAAATCTTAAACTTAAATCTGGGATCTTTTCGAAAGTCAGAGAAAAAGAAAGTCAGGGAGAAAAAAATCAACAAAAAAAAAAAGACTTTTTATGAAGTAAACAGTCGTCGGAGAGTGTTGCCGTCCTTTTATTTTAGTTTTGCCGTAGTGTAGAGAGAGAGAGAGAGAAATTGGGGGAAAAAAAAAAGACGAGACAAAAAACATGTCTTTTATAGAAAGATCTTATTTGCTGCTAACAAGGTTTGAAGAACAGAACTTTTTAATGAGCAAAATTTGTCTCCATGAAACAAGTTTAACTTGTTTTTTATATTTTTGCTTCAATTCTCATTTTTTTTTTCAAAAATTTGAAAATAAAAATATTAAACAAACAAGTTTTTAGTGTTTTTAAAATTTTAAAAACAAAAAATAATTTTTGGGAACAAAACCCCAACCTTTCACTACCCCGCCTCAAATTACCAAAAATCCCTCTATTCCCAAGAAGCCGAATTCCCTTCTCAAGCCCCCTCAAAAGCTAAATCTTCTTTTTCCTACTCCAAATCAGAGTCTGAATTGGACACACTACCGGATACGTCTCAAGAATTGGACCTAAAAATCAAACCTATTGCTTCAAAATCGATGAATGAGCCAGTTTGATATCCAATTCACCAATTCCAACGAAGTCCACCGAAACGCCGATGAAGAGTGAAGACAAGGAGTCGAACAAAGCAAAGCAAAAAACGGATGTCGATAATGGGGATTCAGAGATGAAGAATTCGATTGTAATAGTTGTGGATGATTTGAAACAGAAAGCTTATGATGAAGAAAATAGATGAATAATACAAGGAGTCTTCAAATCGAAAGACTGCTGTTGATTCTTCCCCACTGCTGCTGCAACTGCGGTTAAGAGCAACTCCAAAAGGCTCGTTAAACAGCCCTTCTTAGCTATTTTAAATAGCTTCTCCATAAAATTTGGCTCCAACAGGCTATCTATTCCAGTATCTATTTCCCATAATCCATTTTTCACTTGTTGTTTCTGGCGTGCCATTTCTACGTCGTTGTTTCTTGCGCCAATTTCCTCCTCCTCCTCTCTCTCTCTCAAGCCCCAGAACACCCGAATTTCGTCTTCATCAATCACAAAAGCTTCATTGTCCACCCAAGTATGGAGTGTTCTCTCTCTCACCCACACACAAAAGCTCTGTGTATTTATACCACAGAAAAATTCGCCTAAAATTCATTGAAATCTCACCAAAAACCTACTGCAATCCCACCAAAAAACCCACTAAAAACACACGAAAATCCACTGAAATCCTATCCAAAATCCACTGAAAAACCCACCAAAAATCCAGCGAAATCTGTCTCTCGATTCCACCTGAAAATCGACTGAACCACCTTCTCTCGGTTCCAATAGACGTACAAGTACAATATGGTGGATCAAGGTTTTGTAATTGAGGAGGTATTCTCTTTTTGGCTTAATCGGGATCTAGAAGCAAAAGAGGGAGGTGAGGTTGCTTTTGGCAGTGTTGATCTAAAACACTTCAAGGGAAAGCATACTTATGTTCCCTGTCACACAAAAGGGTTATTGGCAGGTGAGCTAAATAAAAGATCAAAAGTTTCTAATGAAAATCAATTCAATTTTATGGAAAAATACCATTAATTATATTTTTGTGTCTTTTTCTCAATTTGATTGTTCAGTTTGAAATGGTCTGTTGCTTGGGTTGTGTGGAATTTTTCTGAAATTTATCTGTGATATTTTTTCTGAAATTTTTCTAGTTAGCTACGAATTTTTTCTGATTTTTCTAGTTTAGTAATGAATGATAAAATATAAGGAAATGGTTTGAACTAAAAACACGATTTGTAAAAATTAGTTGAAATAGTTAGATAAAATAGAGAGTATTGTTGGAGGAAATTAATAGTAATTATTTTTTAAAATAGATAGTATTATAAAAATATATATTTTGACTAACTATTTTAGCTAGTATTCTTAGAGTTGCTCTAAGGAGCGAGAGGGCAACCAGAAACAATCGTGTGAATGCCAACCGAGTATTTTTGTAATAAATAAAATATAAAATAATTAAGTGGGACTACAAAACAAAAAATACCAACTAAGTTGGACCTAATGCCTTAAAAAATTCATGCCTAGACTTATGATAAATTAGGCACCGAATTTTATACTTTTCAACAATTCTCACTAATTTTTTGAGATACTTGAAATTGATCATAAATATTAGAATCAATTATTTTAATTCAAGATCACAGTAAAATTTTCAAAAAAATAGTTTCTTAGATTTATCTAAATAAAAAATATTTTATTACTCTTAAAAAAAAGAAATTGAATGTGATTCAAATTGATTCGTGTTTACCGAATCCCATAATCTGCCCGTCTATTCAAAAGTGTTTATAATTAATCTAATTTTTGTTTCATATAAAACGACTAAATCTAAAAAGTCAATCATGTGAACGGCCAAGATCACTTCATATTTTTTGATATGTTGGATCGCACCATAATTTCATATTGTTTTGATAGGAAACCCAATCTTATCGGACCGACATATGGGCCCACAACTGATAGTCTGTCGAAGACAAATGATGCCACCTTGTCTGTAAAATACGAACTTACCTTTTATAATATTCAAACGGGGCAATGACTTGTGCTCCATTTGGTACAATATAAGAATGAAATGATAAAAAGTTAAAAAAATGATAGGTTAGAAAAATAAATAAAATATTATATTTAATAAGTATGAAAAATACGAATTATGAAAAAGTGGGTGGATTAATTTTTCTTATAACTCACCAAAATCAATCCCTCTAAAATCAGAAGAAAAGTAGATGAAAAGTTAATTATTTGTGTTAAGATGTATCTTATTTGTCTATATATTATGTATACATTAATTTCATATAAATTATAAAAAAAAATTAAATTAAAAAATATTTTTTCATCTTAACTAGGGTAAAATTTTTTGACTCAACCAATGACACTTAAAAAAAATATAATATAACATGACTCGAACTCGACACGAATTTTATGACGTGAACTTGAAAATAACCTGACACGTGAACAAGAAATATAAAAAACTCATATTCAGTTCAATCAGTTAAACTCAAAATTGATACCATTAACCCGTTTATTTAAAAATAGACATTTTCATTATTTTCTCGTTTGTATGGTAACACAAAACTAACATATTTAACTAATATTATAAACATAAAATATTAATTATTTGTAACTATTTATTAAACATTGACATAATTATCATATGAAAAAATATTTTTACATTCATCCAACCAATCACAAAAGAAAAAAAATTTATTATTCATATTTTTCATTTTTCTTATTTTTTATCTTTTTTACTAAACAGAGTATTAATTTTTTGAATTTCTAAATATATCCTAAATGTTTTAAAAATTGTAGTGGAGGCAGCTGTCCCCATTGCCCCACTTTAGATTCGCCCTTGCATAAAGGAATAGCAAAAAAAAAATGGTATCCTCTAGCCAACATCCA